CCTCTGGGCGTATGTCAGGTCTCGTGAGATGTAGACGCCATGGTAGTCTGTCCCCCTCAGTGTCTTTGAATTGTCTAGGACCCGCTTGCGCACTTCATCGTTCAGGAGCTTAGCTCTGAAAATGTTGGAATGACCAGGGATAGCTGTCACATCTGAAAGAGTAACTGAGATGTCCATGACACTCTGAGTGAGTTGGGAGAACTTTTGTGTGAAGTCTCTGGGTGAGCTGGCAGGAAGACCCTTTACTATGATAGAAGAGCGTCTTTTCTCTCTTTCGTTCATCTCCTGAATTTCTTTCCGGATGGCAGTTTGGTAGGCAGGATTGGGTTTGGAGGCTGAGTCAGTAGCACTTGGAAGAGGTGCTGGAGCTTGGGCTGGGACTGGAGCAGGAGCAGGTCTAGAGGCCAGTTCTGTCACTCGGTCCGTGAGATTCTGCACCGCGCTGCACAGCCCCTTCATCTGCTGGAAAATCTGATTGACTAGCTCAATCACAAGGGGTTGAGTACCACCAGTTGATGAGCCATCAGTTTCAGTCTGAATCCTGCACTTCGTGCACACAAAATTAATCCCTCTCCCACCATACTCCTTGATAGCATCTAGCAGGTTTTGGGGAAGCCCCGAACACATCTCAGAGTTGTGTACCCACATCTTACACTTGTCACAACCGATAGCCTCATTACCAGCATCATTGGAGCAAGTCATGCATGCATCCTCCGCTGAGTCCCCCTTGGGGGATCCAGAGGCGGACCCAACACCGCCGGAACCATCACCCTTATCCTTTTTCGCCACACTGCTCTTGCGCTTAGCCATATTAGCTTCCTCAGAGGATGCAAATGAGAGTTGAGACAGATATCAATAGAAGAATTCAAGCAGCCAAGCAACAGATACAAAACACCATGCAACGTACACACACAAACACAAAAATAGCCGGGGTATAAATCAAAGCCCACAGGCCTGGCGCAGAGCAGCTCAGGTAGGACAAGTAGCTGGAGCGAACTCAGGCAAGAAGCAGGTGACGAATCTAGGACAGGATGGGTGCGGACTAGCAGTACTTCCAACCAGGTGGCGTGTGCTGTAGTAGCATGCAGAGATGCAGCGTGCAGGGCGTACACCAGGCAGGCAGCACACCAGACAGCAGCAGCCAATGCACCAGGCAGCAGCACCCAGTCAGAAGTTCCAGTGGATGGTTGTTATACTTTACTTCCTACCCTACTTCCTGTACCACCCATGTGTGTAAATTTATGCTATTAATCCTTTTCCCTCTCTTTTTGGATCTTATCTTTCTCACGATTTTCCACCCTCTTATCCCCATTTTTGGTGAGGTATTGCCTTTGACACCCAAGCTTATATATAATTTTGAGACACTGGACATCAAAACCAATGACAATCAGGACATGAGAGTGTGCTGCATTAATTGGCATTGGCATGAAAATAAAAGCCTTTCAAGCTTTCCAAAATATTATTTTCTGGGTAGGTAACTCATTTTTATGCTCAATGCCTTCAGCTTGCAGTCTGTAGATTATTTTCATCCAATAGAACATGCAGGTCACTGATCACCTTCTGGCATCCACAGACCCTCACAATGAAGATCGACGAGGTGCCCTCAGCGGGCAGCGCGCCCGCGGCCCCGCTGGCCACCCCAGAGCAGCTGCGCGCCATCGGCGCCGTGCTGCGCGACCCGGCCCGGCCGCTCAAGGAGCGGTTCCGCGCGCTCTTCACGCTGCGCAACCTGCCGGGCGCGCAGTCGGTGCAGCTCATCAGCGAGGCCTTCTCGGACGAGTCGGCGCTGCTGAAACACGAGCTGGCCTACTGCCTGGGCCAGATGGGCGACCGGGCCGCGCTGCCCGTGCTCACCACCGTCCTGGAGAACACCGCCGAGAACCCCATGGTCCGACACGAGGCCGGTCAGTGGGGGCCATCGCACGGTCATCTGAGGGGACCGCGAACCTTTTCTGACAAATTTAGGTAGTATCTGTTCGATCAGAACATATCAATGCTTGGCTACGTTATATTTTCATTTAGCAATCACTTGCAGACTGCAGTTCCGGTATTCTGTCCGCCGATAACCGCCGCAGTCCGGGCGCAAATCTTCCCAAATCATCATCATCGCGCACTCAGTCTTACTCTGTAGATTCCCAACAGGTTTCGTTGAAGAAATCCCAGAGGCACCTGTGGTTGGCTGACACTTTGCTGGGCGTGTCCGCCAGGCGAGGCGATGGGCGCCATCGGTGACCCCTCCGCGCTGCCGGTGCTGACGTGCTCGGACCCCACTCCGGAGGTGGCCGAGACCTGTCAGCTGGCCGTCCGGCGGATAAAGTGGCTCCAGGACGAACAGGTAAGACCGGTGTGAAGGATACTCAGCTTACAGACGTTCCGACAAGAGTGCATTAAAAATATGACTGCGACGAGTTTTGACCGTCGTTTGACGGCCGCCGGTCATCGCCGTTTCCCAGCTAGCTATGTAGATAATAGATATCGTTGTCAAGGAGCATTCGTCTATTTTATGTAAATTGTAGACGAATTCCATTCCTCCTAACGCTAAGCTCTAGCTGTGATAAAGTTCGTTTCCCGATCTTTCATAATGCTTCTCGAAATGGCGCACGGATCTTTTTCCTCATTAAAATACACGTCAAGCACGTAGCCCGTCATTCTGACTCGTGCTCTCGCCGTCTTCAGAGCCGCAAGGAGCGTCTCAGTGAGAACCCGTACGCGTCCGTGGACCCGGCGCCTCCTGCCGACGAGCCGAGCCAGCTGAGCTGCGCCCAGCTGCGCGCCACTTTGCTCGACGACAGCGTGCCGCTGTTCGAGCGTTACCGCGCCATGTTCACGCTGAGGAACCGCGGCGACGCCGAGAGCGTCACAGCCCTGGCCGACGGTGGGTGACTGAGGGGGGGGGGATAGCTGGGGCGGCGCTGAGAGCGTCCCTGTCCGACAGTGGGTGGCTGGGAGGAGGGGAGGGGTGAGGAAGACAGGAGGGCAACAGCGCTGGGTGACGGTGGGTGACTGACAGGGGGTATCAGTCTGGGGGAGATTGTGGTTCACTGGCTGCCGGCGACTCGGAAGGATGCTGTCAAGCCTAACGTTTGCGTTGTGTTTAGCAATTAAACACCGCCTACGTCTTTCTTGAGGTACGTGGTTCAGTTTAGATGTGCATGGATGCTTTATGACGAAGCACGGTTTCGGTTTGCCGCTGTCCCGTGCCCTGACGCCCGCCTGTGCCCTGACGCCCGCCTGTGTCCCGCCGTCAGGTCTGCGGTGCGGCAGCGCCCTGTTCCGACACGAGATAGCCTACGTGCTGGGTCAGGTGGCGCACCCGGCCGCCACCAAACAGCTCGAGACCAGCCTGCGAGACCAGCACGAGAGCGACATGGTGAGCTCATCGGGCGGGCGTGACGCGAGGTCTGGAAGTAGCAGGGGTCGTGATGAGTCATGCTGATTCAACCGTTTTACGTGCATGTCATTGCGCCTGATTTTTGCGCTGCTGGGGGTCTGTATGGCTTTGGAATGTTGTTAAATCCCAATCAACGTGAACTTGAATCCATCATCCGTCATCACACGATGACTTTCCAGAAATATGCGTTGTGCTGATACAAATGTGAACCGCCTCATCCGGTGCAGTCTATCGGCCCACTTAGTATGCCTACCCGTAGTATGCCTATGTATATTGGTGGATGTGTCCGACTACGGCGGCCCCTGCCCTCTCTCACTTCCCACCCGTCCTCTGCCAGGTTCGTCACGAGTGCGCCGAGGCGCTGGGCGCGATCGGCACGCCCGAGTGTCTGCAGCTGCTCTCGGAGTACGGCGGCGACCAGGCGCGCGTCGTTCGCGAGTCGGTCGAGGTGGCGCTCGACATGTGCGAGTACGAGCAGAGCGCCGCCTTCCAGTACGCCGACGGCCTGACGACGAGCAGCTGACGACCGCCAGCCGTTGTACCGACCGCTGACCACCGCGCCGGCACCGCCTGTATCGACCGTCCTGTGATGTTGCTGGAGCGGACTCTGTCCGGTGATCTATCACTTGCGCAGATAAAACTGTCCGGTGATCATGTATCGTTCGTGACGTCACCTATAAACGCGAACATTATCCAGTCATGTCACCTTATTCAGACTGTGTCCCGTCATGTCATAAACGCCGACAGCTATTTCTAAATGTATACAGGGAGAGGCAGGTATCCGATGACAAAATCGGTGCGAAACGAATATATCTAGTTTTGGTGAATAATATTTAGGTACAAGAACGACACTTTCTACGCATGCTTGAACAACTATAAGTATCTGTTTACTTCATCAAATCCCCTTCAACAAGGACGACGGTGGATTTACGACCGCGGACGTGACTGCACGCGCGCACCGGAGGTGTCTTGCATATCACCCAGCACGTGCACGATGACTGCGCCCAGCGCCTCTTTGGTGTGCGCGAGTTCGGCAACGATGAGGGAGTCGGTGCTGCTGGCGGCATTTCTGGTGGTGCCGTCTGCGGGCCGCACAGTAAGCACTGGACGTTCCGAAGATATTTGCCGTCAGCTGAACGGCCCGAAGTCATTGGCCGTCAGTTAAACGTGCCGAAGACATTGGTCGTCAGGGTATCGCTCGTGCCGCGCCCCTTCGCCTACCGATGCCGGGAGTCGACTGGGAGAATCCGCTGCCCGAGTCGACGCCACGCTACATACAGGTGGCGCTCCCGGAGGCGTACCGCTGGGGTGACGCCGATCCGTGCGCCGGTCACCTCGTGGCGAGTGAGGGCTATTGTACCGGATGCCGCACCATCCCGAGGGGGAGGGCAACGGTGACTTTCAGTTCGTTGTCAGTAATCGGCTGAGTCGCGATAGGACCGGCCAGGAGGCAAGCGTTGCGATCAGAACGGCCGCTTTTCCTGAAGGCTTGCAGTTTGGCTTGTCGGCAGTGATGTGTAAACGCCGACCTCTTTGGTGCACGAGTACATTGATGACCCAATCGAGAGCTCGTGATATATAAACGTAGGTAAAACGCCGAGGACTTTGATGTACGAGTATATTGATAATGCAATCGAGAGCGAGCGGTATCGAGTTCACAGTCAGAGAGAACATCACGATTACTGATGGAAGCCAGCGGCTGGCGACAGCGACACCTACCTACCTATCTACCACAGGACATGCGAGCGAAATAAAAAATACCTGATGTGCGGAGGGGAATAACACTATCAGAATCGAGTCGAGAAACATAGTACGTTCCTGCTGCCACCATTGTACCTACCGACCGGGGTCTGAGAACAAACTACACCGAAAAAGGCGACAGAAATCAGGCCAGCTTCACCTCTTCTAAAGAGACAGCTTTCACTGCAAAAGAGGGAAGATAACGTTAGAACGGGTTGCATTCTTCACACGAATTGCACGCAGTAACACTTCGACAGAACCCAACATTGAGAAAACAAGAGCCTCGGCGTTTCATAAAAAAGAAAATTGCAAGCGACGGGCGATTCCTAAACACTTCTACAGTACATTTCCCATCGACCGACTGTAACGGTCCCCCCGCCCAATTTCACCGACGTACCTCGTTCTCCTCGCCGCGCGTCTCCTCATCCTCGTCGTCATCGTCGTCGTCATCGTCGACGATGCGCAGCTTACGCCGCTTCTTGCTGCTGCCGTTGCTCCTGCCTCGCGACTTGCGTTTGGAGGGTGCCTCGCCGTCCGGCTGGGCGTCCTCCTCGGCATCATCTGGTGGGGGAGTGCACCGATATATTGGTAAAACAGAGAATATGAGACGAGAAGGCGCCAGTCGCAGCTCACCAATCTACGCAGCCAGTTACCATCTGCGCGTCCTAACCTTTGAGGACATCCAGGAAATTAGGACTGAACTGAATGAGGTGGAAGACGGTCCACATACTACACAATAATATGTCTACACGTAAAATATTCGGCAGCGGTGCTCCAGCTCGCCCGTCCTCGCCCGAGTCGTTCTCTGGCCTAACCCGCGGCCCGTCCCTCCCTCCCCCTCCCGCCCCGCTCACCGCTCCGTCCCTCCGTATTCCCGCCCCGCCCCTTCCCGTCCCTCAGCTCACCGTTGTCGGGCTGTTCGGGCTGCGATAACCTGCGTGTCCTCCACCTTAGCCCATCAGGGTCATTCCTCCTTTCCCGCCCCGCCCCTGTTCCCGTCCCTCCGCTCACCGTTGTCGGCCTGTTCGGACTGCGCCTCCAGCTCGGCCTCCACCTTGGCGCGCGCGTTGGCGAACACGCGCTCCAGAACGATGCTGTCCTCGTGGATGAGCGACGTCTCCTCGTTGTAGGCCTGCGCGTTCTTGCACATGAGGATCGTGTCGGCCTCCAGGTCGTCCAGGTCGGCGTACTGCAACGGAGGGCGGGGGTGGGGTGTCGGTGAGCGCATATTTCAGGGGAGACTGGTGAGCTGCAGTCTACTGCCCTAATTTTTGTGCTAGGGACGCCGTAACCTATACATTGGTGAAGCCTGATAACCAGGCGGCTTGCTACCACGCAGCAAACCAGAATACGGAAGGAATGATATGGTAACGAGCGAATGAGGGGAGATACGTTTGATGATTCGCATATCTGGGAAGCACTATCCACTCGGCAGCATCTGTAGGAACAAAAGCAGCCTAACTACGGTTAACTTTCCTTGCAAATATCTAAATACGTGGTATTAAATTTGCCGTGCAAAGGCAAAAACGATTGCATTCGATTGACCTCTGGCCTGGCGTAATAACCTCTGACCCGACGTAATCGTTTTCGCCTTTATACGACAAGAACTGTCGTCCTACCTTGCCCTCGTCGATCCTGGCCAGCAGTTTCTTGATGTCGACCGGCTTGCGGATGACCTTGTAGTAGTCGGGCAGGTCCTTGCGCGAGGGCAGCTTCATGAACGGCTCGCTGAGCACCCGGCCGTCAGCGTCCACGTAGTCGATGATCATCTGGACGATGTTCTTCATGCCCTGTTTGAGTCGGGCCGGTACGGCGCCGGGCGAGCCGCGCTTGCGCTTGGCGTCGTCGTCGTCGCGGCGCCGTCCGCCGGCGGAGCGGGAGGCGCCGCCGCGCCGGCCGCGCTTCTTGCCGCCGTCGTCCTCCTCGTCCTCGAGGATCTCGTTCCCCTCGTCATCCACCGCCTGTAGAGGAAGAACGGGATGAAATAATTACAGTACTCGATAGCGAACAGTGCAGTCTCCCGGTTCACTGATAACGAGTGAACCGGGAGACTGGTTAAGTCTCCTGTGTTCATTGTTACTTTACTTTAAAGGCACCACGGATGGGTTTCAGCACAGCCGTTCCAATATCACTGTAGTTGTTGGTGCTGATTATCCAGGCAGTACTCACGCCGATGGCCTTGAGCCAGTCTCTGTCGTTAAGGCTGTCGGAGTAGTCGACCTCCTTCCTGGCGCGGCTGCCCCTGCCGAACAGGTCCTCCTTGTCCTCCTCGGCGGTCAGCTCGTCAATCTCGGCCTCGTCTCGGAGCAGCCAGTCGGGCAGCTCGTTCTCCTCGATGAGCCGCGGTTTGCGCGCCGCGCCCAGTTTGGCTTCCTCCCGGCGCCGTTCCAGGTCCAGCTGCTGGTAAACCTGCAGCTCCTCCTCGCTACGGGCGATCATCTGGTTCACCGTCTCCTCGTCCGGCACCTCGTTCTCCTCCTGGGGACAGACAGGGAGGGAAAGTTATCGTCTGGGTCACCGTCTCCTCGTCCGGTACCTCGTTCTCCTCCTGAGGACGGCAGACGCAAACAGAATCAGTGCCTGGGAGAAACCCGAACACGCGTCACTAAAACAACCGCCTGTTCACACTGGAGCAGCCCATCCGAGTTCTCCGCGCTGTTTTACACAGTCTGCTACTGAACAATTGCTCATTCAGAAGGATCTATCATCTAAGTGATAAGGATCTAAGTGATCAAACAATTCAATCAACAAACACCGGATCTTGTGAGCATGCTGAGTTGGGAGTAGCGTTCAGTCCTACCTCTTCGTCGACATCCTCGTCCTGGAGGATGCTCTGCAGCATCTGTCGCCGCTCGGTTCCCGTCGACTTCTGGTCAAACTTGCCGGCCTGGATAACCTTCTCGTCCATGTTCAGCTTGTACCTGACCGATGAAAAGTGGGCGATAAGTCGACAGCAGAGATGGGTGGTCACCATTTCAAGGAAGGTTCAACTGCCGACCACGAGGCGTTGAGTCATAACTGAAGCAAATTTACATAACACATCAAAACCCAAAACAACGAGAACGGTCAGACATCGACAGGCTCTATTCACAGGGCCGTGAAAAAAGATAATCGCTATGTCTTGTTTAACTCTTGAATCGTGTTTAACGACTCCGTCGTACTCACTTGGCGGCGGCCAGGATGCGCTCTTCCACTGAGTTGACGGACATGAGTCGGATGACGCGCACCTCGTTCTTCTGTCCGATACGATGGGCGCGGTCCTGCGCCTGCAGATCCTGGTGCGGGTTCCAGTCCGAGTCGAAAATCACCACCGTGTCAGCCGTCTGCCGGAGGGAGGGCAGGGTCAGTGGTGGCACGGAGTACGGACACCATTTGGAGACAGGCGAGACAGCTGATCCGGCAGTGATGAGAAAGGTACTGCCGTCGGTAGTAACACCAGAGTGGCAGTGTCATAGTATATTTATTGAAATTCCATCACGACAGAGGCACTACCTACATAAAAAGTAGGTAAGTTGTACATGTGCGCTATTCCATATACCTCTGGGGCATTCCGGCTCCAGAAGTACTGGCAGGAGCAGCTAAATATGATGTCGCTTGACTGAAAGGAGACGACCGAGATATGAGTCGAATCCCATCCAAGTCAAGCCGTGGACTGCCGCGGGTGGAATGCGGCAGTCCCAGTTCCACCACCTGACCAGACGCCCGGCCCGTACCTGCAGGTTGAGACCCAGACCCCGACGTCTGTCCCCCATCCCACCACCCGACCTCACGTCCGCACCTGCAGGTTCCGTCCCGAGACCCAGACCCCGTCTGTTCCCACCACCAGACCAGACGCCCGTACCTGCAGGTTGAGACCCAGACCGCCGGCGCGGGTGGACAGCATGAACAGGAAGTACTCGGACGAGGGCTCGTTGAACTTTTTCAGCAGGTCACCGCGCTCCTCCGCCTTGGTGGTACCGTCCAGTCGCAGGAACCTGGCGGAGGGCAGCCAGATCACAGAGGGGTCAGACTGGACGGCGGAACAGCGAGTATTGGGTCAGAGCTGTCGGCACGGCGAGTCACAAAGACCAACGCTGCAGCGATTTAAGATAGAAATATCCAGATCAATGACATGAATCAATTGCAAACAAATGTCATGTCGTGGCCTAATAGTCTGAAGACAGGCTAGCTAGAAGTTAAAATTGTCTTAGCATTGAAAGTAGCCGAGTTTGACGATACCTGAGCATTAACTATCTAAAACAGTCTACATGTCACAGTGTCACTGTGTTTGATCACTGACTTGTATCCCTTGTAGTTGAGGTAATCCTCCATGATTGTCATCAGCTGGGTCATCTGGCAGAAGAGCAGCACCCGGTGGCCGCAGTGCTTCAGCTTGGGCAGGATCCGGTCCAGCAGCTCAAACTTGCCGGACGCACGGAACAGGTCCGGCCTGTAACAGAGGAGAGAGACATAGTTATAGATCAGGGCTGCCACAGGGAGAGTGTGTTATGTATCAGGGCTGTGACGGGGAGACTAGAGAGACTAGAGACATCGGTCAGGGCTGTGTTACAGACGATACATTGAGCGGTACTATACTCTGTTCCGTTTCAAGCTTGTAGCCGAAGTACCCTCCTGAAAGCAGTGCGTGATTTCTGTATATACAGCTCATACATTTTAAGCGCAAATTCTTGCGCGGAGGAGCGATCCTCCGCGCGGAGCGATCCTCCGAAGAAACTCCGACTGCAAGCTTGATATGGAACAGACTAGTTATAATAAGTCATTATACGGAGCAGCCGACAAAATGTCAGGCTAGAGTCCGGTCAGACTCGTGGCTATGGAAGCAGGATGCGGTGCAGCTGCGGACTGGCGATCACACAATGGCATAATAACGCGACCATGCACAAAATGCAGTTGTAATTGAAGTCACGCAAACACTGAGGAAGGACAGAGGAAGCCAGCAGCTACATAAATTTGAGTTGCCATCTGACAATTAACTGATCTGACGAAAATGTGCGCTATTCCTTATACCCCCGGGTCTTTTCGGCCTTCAGAGGTACTGGCAGGAGTAGCTAATTGTAATATCGCTTGACTGAAAGGAGACGACCGAGATATGGGTCGAATCCCATCCAAGTCAAGCCTAGCCTTTGTTGGCAATCGTCGCTATATTCTAGTCAACTTTAACACTTATTCAACGAGTTTGATTGAAAATACAATAAAAAACTATTCCCGTCCATTTCTCCTGATCTTCCACCTCCCCCCCCCCCCTCTCCCCAGTGGAAAGGCAACTAACCCTGTGACCACGTCCCCCCCCCCCCCCCCGGAACGGCGCGACGACTGGCCCTGCGATAATCATCCCTATCTCCCCCCCCCCTCCCCGGGAGCGGCACAGCGACTGACCCGGTGACCATGCCGCCGGGCATGCCGACGTGCGCGCAGTACGCCTCCTCGATGTGCTGGAACATGAACGGGTGGTTGCACAGCTTCCTCAGCTGCATGATGGTGTTCATGAGCGCCTTGGAGCCGCCGCGGCCGGCGCCGCTGCCCTTGCCGTCCGTCAGCATGATGCCCTTGCTCTGCATGTGTCGGTAGAGCAACCGCTGCAGCGCCGACATCTCGCACTTGATGATGTACTCCACCTGACAGATGAGAAGGCGAGTTTGTGGTGAAATGGCACCGGGGGATGGGCTACATACGCTCGTTAATAGCGCGATAACCAAATCGTCCACGTAAAACGACAGCTATTTTACACATTGGCTTACGAGAAGAATGACAGGTAGCACATTCACCAGGGTGTGCATCACGGTTGGAAGTTTTTTTTTTTTTTTTTTTACTTAGCAGTCTGGATGAATATGTGAGCTATTCCTCATACCCCTGAGATATCAAACCAATCAGAGGTACTGGCAGGAGCAGCATGATATAATATTGCTTGACTGAAAGGAGACGGCCGAGATATGGGCCGAATCCCATCCAAGTCAAGCCGTGTCCTATAGGGTTGTTAAAAAAAACGAATTTTGGAAAAGTATATGGGCTCATGGCTCATGTGGTGCGGTATTCTTTTCTGAGTCCAATGATACCCCTTTTTCGAAAAGTATTACTGCTAGGCGCTGCTCAAACGGCTTAAAGAGGACCATGTTACGCCCGCCGACCGGCCGGTGTCAATAAGGGCGAGAATTCGACGCCGCACGGCGGCGGCAGCGCCTTATCGGCACCGCGCGCCACGACATCTGCCGGGCGGCCGGCTGGGCGGTGGGAAGTTATAAGTGCGTGGTCTTATTGCACACGATCGGGGTGAGCTATCCCATGTTTTCGGGGCGGAAAGTTTCAGTGCAGCATCGGTGCGTCTGCCACGGTGGTCTTTGTCGATGGTATAGAAAATAACTCAAGCAGAGCTCAGAAAAGACTGAATGATTCCGGGTAGTTGCCTCGAAACAATCCGTTTCAAGAATACAGCTGCCTTCTTAACGTACTGTATCACTTGTTAATTCGTCAAAAAGCAAGCTCTGAGCAATAACAGACTTCTTTGCATTGCTGTTGACAATTTAAGTTGCTTTTGGACGGTGGCTCGCAGCCCCAATATCCCGCCGCGTAACTCTATTCCAACGACGAAACGGCAACGTAGCGAGAATCGAAAATTTAACGAAGTAGGTACAACAGGAGCTGGCAAGGCTCCTGCATTGGTCTATCCGTCATGAGTGACACACCGGGGTAATGTGTCACGTCAGGGCAGAGCTGTGTTCTATGCCGGGTCTGGATTCGGGTCTTGATCGGCATCGGTGGGCACGGCCGCCCTGGCCGGACTGCCGGCGTCGCTTATGCTCGAAGGATTGGATAAACGGCGCTTGATTTATATGAGTAGGTACTCCGGCGAATGTCTCTACTCATGTCTCACTTCGTCACACTGTCAGGGTGGCCACCCTGTCATTCCCAGACATGTTATGTTTTCTTTCGACCCGCTAATCTAAGCTACACCTGGCGTCGATTCTGTTGCCCCAGCATCTGACATCAACGTATCTGAATAATGACATTGGTGACGCCTATGCTCGTCAAAGCCACCCCCAAACTTGGGCCGATGACTGTCGGGTCTCCTCCATATTCTGTCCTTGTGCATACTGCATTGCCAGCCCCTGCTGTACGTATATCGTGAATTTTCGATTCTCGCTACGTTGCCGTTTCGCCGTTGGAATAAAGTTGCGCGGCAGCATATTGGGGGTGCGAGCCACCGTCAAAAACTAACGTAAATTGTCAACAGCAATGCAAAGAAGTCTGTTATTGCTCAGAGTTTGTTTTTTTGAAGAATTAACAAGTGATACAGCACGTTAAGAATGCAGCTGTATTCTTGAAACGGATTGTTTCGAGGCAACTACCCGGAATCATTCAGTCTTTTCTGAGCTCTGCTTGAGTTATTTTCTATACCATCGACACAGACCACCGTGGCAGACGCACCGATGCTGCACTGAAACTTTCCGCCCCGAAAACATGGGATAGCTCACCCCGATCGTGTGCAATAAGACCAAGCACTTATAACTTCCCACCGCCCAGCCGGCCGCCCGGCAGATGTCGTGGCGCGCGGTGCCGATAAGGCGCTGCCGCCGGCGCGCGGCGTCGAGTTCTCGCCCTTATTGACACCGGCCGGTCGGCGGGCGTAGCATGGTCCTCTTTAAGCCGTTTGAGGAGCCCCTAACAGTTAAAACTTTTCAGAAAAAAGGGCATCATTGGTCTCAGAAAAGAATACCGCACCACATGAGCCATGAGCCCATATACTTTTCCAAAATTCGGTTTTTTTGAACAACCCTAGTGTCCTATAACCAGACAGTGCGGCGGCCGGGGCCTTACCTTGTCGGGGAGCTGGGACTCGACCTCCTTCTTGAGCCTCCGGAGCAGGAACGGCCGCAGCACCTTGTGCAGACGGCGGATGATGAGAATCGTCTCCTCCTCATTCAGCTCCACCTATGGAGGTACAGGAGGAAACAGGTCAGCAGGGAGTGCTCTGGAGAGGCGGCGATGCACGAGCACACCAACATCGGCTGATGAGATAGAGAAGTCCGACTAGAAGCAGTCCTGCAGCAATAATCGCGGCCTCGAGGTAGTCGGCGGGGTGGCCGCAGTCAGTCTATGGACGTCACATCTTATCGGTCGGTGCACCAGTCGGCGGCGCCGGCCTCTGGTGGGTGACACGGCCGAGTGAGAACACTGCGGCCCCTGCTGTGGCTCGTCTGAGACGGCGGAGCGCAGGTCGACCACGCTCAGCCTGACTCTACTCTGACGAGCTAGGACATTTCCCCGGCCTGACATACAGCTTCCCAAACATTCTACGATGCGGAGACACCACCATCGAACACCTGAGTGGGCTGGAATACCAACAAAACTTAACCCGGCACCGCCTGGGCTATTTCCGTACCCACATCAGCCTGGGGGGGGGGGGTCGGATCCGACCCCCCCCCCTGTTATCTCGAGAACCAATTGTCGTATCGAGCCCCGCGAGGCGGCGTTCGAAAGGTCTCTACGAGACCTTCCCAAAGCACTCTTAAGATTTTAAGATTGAGGTCAACTTTCGGGTCAAGGTCAGGTCAAAGGTCAAATTCAGGGGTTTTGCATGATTAGGCTTACGGACAGCGGAATCGATAGCTGCTGCTCGAAACTCACCACAAATGACCTCAAAGACCTAGTGAAGGTACCATGTGCGTATAGGGGTCATACTAAGTACGGGTCAAGGTCAGGTCAGGTCACGAAAGGTCACGGTTTTCACTTTCTGCTACATGGGCGTGCGACACATGTTTTATGGCTTATTTTTTACGCCAAATCCGATGGTAATGGTTATATGTGACCCCAAGTCACTGTGCTGGTGATAAGTGTGCATTGAAAGCATAAAAAATCGTTTATACCATACATAACTAAACGAGAGCTAAGAAAAAAAGTCAATTTTTCAACTTTTTATTTTTGACATAAAAATGCATTTTTCTAGACCAGCTTTGTCCCAGGAATCTAGTGGTGCCATTTGTTTTCACATGCGATGTTCAGAAGTGCCTCTAATTCGCGAAAATGCTGATGACGTCACCATGCCCTATGCATGTTGGAGCTATTTTTTACAATTTGGGGGTCAAAAATCAAGATAGAAAGTTGAAATTTGGGACATCTAATGTTCTAATAGAGCTCTATAACATATATTCCGGTTTTTTGGAAATTCTCAAAATTTTGGATTTTATTAGCTGTTTTCCAAAAAATATAGTTTTTTGAATTTTTAGGGGTGAAAAACGCATTTTATGGAAAATCCGAGATAGCCATTTTAAAGAACTCGTTGAGCTGCGTCTTTTCATGTCCTTAATTTGCAATTTGCTTAAAACCTCGATTTTTGGCGATTTTTTAAACATTTACCATTTTTTGACTGAAAACGCCATGTAGTTACATCACTAAAATCGATATATCTCAGAAATTTTTGAAATTTTTTTCTTAAAAATTGCACAGGAGACGTCAAATTGATGGGGGAGAAGGTATGCGAAGTTTCAAGTTGATAGCGCAAGCGGTTCATGAGTTATTCAAGAAAAACGGAGGGGGGGGGGGTCGGATCCGACCCCCCCCCAGGCGGTCGCGGGTTAAGCAGTGGCGTTACTCAGCGTCAGCTCTGAACAAACACTCCCCCTACCCCTCACCCGTCCCCGCCCCGGCCGTCAAGGAGCCGTACCTTCTCTCCGGCGGTGGCAAACGGCGCGTTGAACCACTGCTCGAACGTAGACACCGCCTTGAAGATGGAGGGCAGCAGGAAGTTGAGCAGCGACCACAGCTCGGGCAGCTTGTTCTGCAGCGGTGTACCCGTCAGCAGGAGCCGATGCGGCGCCGCGTAGAACGTGTTCAGCACCGACGTCAGCTTGCAGTGGTGGTTCTTCATTCGGTGACCCTCGTCGATGATCATGTACTTCCACCGGTTCTGGAGGTCAGGAGACGGGTTAGTGAGATCGCTGAGACGTCATGTTGTGACGCAATGGGAAGGTAACTAGGGCGCTAACAGCGATGGGCTGCATGCAAGCAAAAAAAAAAGAAAAAAAGCGGCAATTAACGACACGCTAAGTCTGGCTGTACCATAGATTAGTTATAGTTGGGTCAGGTTAACCCATGCCCAGTTGATGAATCAGCTTTCCTATTCAAACATCGAAGACGAAGCTGTATCAACTGTTCGCTACAGCCTTATGCCTCCGAGTCGTCCACTCACAGGCACTGGCAGGCACGGCGAAACATTGGTGTCGCTTGACTGAAGCGATACAACCGAAAGGCAGGCAGTATCCCATCCAAGTCAAGCTGATATTGCCAAACAACGATCTGACCACAAATATCCCACATGCCTGACAAACAACACAAAATACACTGCATAAATATCGGCACTTACGCAAGGCGCTGGCCCCACCCGACCGCGGCAGCGACCATTACCTTGGAGAGAGCCGCCTTGTCCCTGATGATGTACTCGTAGGTGGTGAGCAGCACGTTGAACTTTGCCGCGCGCATCTGGTTCTGGATGGCACGGCGGGCCGACGGCGAGCCCTTGTAGGCCACCACGCGCACCGAGGGCGCCCACTTCTCGAACTCGAGCACCCAGTTGGAGAGGGTGGAGAGCGGTAGAATGATGAGGTACGGCCCGTTCACCTTTTTCACCTCCATCAGGTAGGTGACGAGCGCGATCGTTTGGATGGTCTTACCCAGACCCATCTCGTCAGCAAGAATGCCTGTCGGAAAACACAGGTGGAACGGGTCAGGCTTCGCCGCTTCAGCCTAAGCAACCAGAAGTATCTGCACCTTGCACGCACTATGCACTTAATTTGCCATAACATAAGCCGCTTAGGTACATTTGATTTAATTCCTTCGACACAGCACTGAGCTGCTAATGTTTAACTGTGCGCTAATCCTTATACCCCTGAGTCACATTGTTCGACAGAGGCACTGGCAGGCGTAGCTAGATGTAATGTCGCTTGACTGAAAGGGGAGAGCCGAAGTGTAGACCCAATCCCATCCAAGTCAAGCCACTTCAACAAGCAATAATACACGCAGACTATTGATCACAGCGTGATTTAAACTAAAAGCACACATTTTTCTCATCATTTCATCATCATTAAAAGCCCCAGACTTTGCCCGATCAGCGGCCCACATACCATTGAGATTGTTGTTGTAGAGCGACACGAGCCACTCGAGTCCCTTGATCTGGTACTCCTTCAGCTTTCCATTGACCATGATGGACGCCTGTTCGGTCACAGTCTCGTGGATGGCGTGGGCGATGCTGGAAAACGAAACGATACGAGTCAGCAAGGTGACATACAGGACGGTGGCGATGTACCCGGTGAATAAATCTGTAGTAAAAAACACAAAACTATCACGTGAGCCTGATGAGGGACACAAGGTCGTTCAAAAGCCCCGAGACATACGGTTGCTGTAGGTCATCCATGAACTCTTCCAATACAACTACCGCCGGTGATCTGGCAACCATCACCGGTGATCTGGCAACCATCACGCGGCGACCAAGCAGCTCTACCACACATCGCCGCGCGTCTCTGACCTGTAGTAGTTGGCCTCGCCCATCTTTTTGTACTCGTCGTCCTCGGTCTTGGCCTTGGCGATGACGGTCTGCGTGCGCTCCTCCTCGCTCAGTTCGGAGAGCTCCTTGGCCGACCTGGGCGGCCGCTCCGACTCCTGGTCCACTTCCATCTCCTCGTCCTCGTCAGGCGCGGCCACCCAGCCCGGGTGGGCCTCCAGCCAGGCCTGGTGGACAGGGAGCGGTGTTAGTGGGAGCTCAGTCCGCCACCCAGCCCGGGTGGGCCTCCAGCCAGGCCTGGTGGACAGGGAGCGGTGTCAGTGGGAGCTCAGTCCGCCACCCAGCCAGGGTGGGCCTCCAGCCAAGCCTGGTGGACAGGGAGGTGTCAGTGGGAGCTCAGTCCGCCACCCAGCCCGGGTGGGCCTCCAGCCAGGCCTGGTGGACAGGGAGCGGTGTCAGTGGGAGCTCAGTCCGCCACCCAGCCCGGGTGGGACTCCAGCCAGGCCTGGTGGGCAGCGAGCGGTGTCAGTGGGAGCTCAGTCCACCACCCAGCCCGGGTGGGCCTCCAGCCAGGCCTGGTGGACAGGGGGGAGCGGTGTCAGTGGAGCTCAGTCCGCCACCCAGCCCGGGTGGGACTCCAGCCAGGCCTGGTGGACAGGGAGCGTGTTAGTGGGAGCTCAGTCCGCCACCCAGCCCGGGTGGGCCTCCAGCCAGGCCTGGTGGACAGGGGGTGTCAGTGGGAGCTCAGTCCGCCACCCAGCCCGGGTGGGCCTCCAGCCAGGCCTGGTGGACGGGGGGGGGGGGGGTCAGTGGGAGCTCAGTCCGCCACCCAGCCCGGGTGGGCCTCCAGCCAGGCCTGGTGGACGGGGGGGGGGGGTCAGTGGGAGCTCAGTCCGCCACCCAGCCCGGGTGGGCCTCCAGCCAGGCCTGGTGGACAGGGGGTGTCAGTGGGAGCTCAGTCCGCCACCCAGCCGGGGTGGGCCTCCAGCCAGGCCTGGTGGACGGGGAGGGGGTGTCAGTGGGAGCTCAGTCCGCCACCCAGCCGGGGTGGCCTCCAGCCAGGCCTGATGGACAGGGTCAGAATGTAACCTTAGTTTATAAACACCGCCACGTACCAGCCCGGCTGTTGCTCTAACCAGGACTGGTGGCCAGGGTAGGGTGTCAGAGTGTGTCCATCACCGCCCGGGCGCCGTCACCCACGTGCACAGGGCGCGAGAGGTGTCAGTGTTACCTCAGTCTGTCGACGTGGAACGTCAGTGCCTGTTTCGGTCGCTAGTTAAGTCTAACTCAAAGCAGTGACACAGACGTTGCAGACTGATTCCGGATTTTTAGCTAGATTAGATGGAAATAGGAAGATGTGCGCTATTCCTTATACCCCCGGGCCTTTCTGGCCTTCAGAAGTACTGGCAGGAGCAGCTAAATATGATATCGCTTGACTGAAAGGAGACTGCCGAGGTATAGGCTAAATCCCATACAAGTCAAGCTACTCTCCTCCACAAATGTATTCACAAAAAAGTCGCATGCATGCATTCTGCGATTTGCCGCGCGCATAGCAATCGATTTATCACTGACACCCTCACGTCCTATCTCCCTTACTACGGAGATGAGACACATCTGTAACGTTCACCCCCCCCCCCCCCCCGCCCTATCGCGTGTCATTTGGTACGCCCCACCCACCATTCCTCCCGCCCAACTCCTCGCGTGTCTGTGCAATGTGCATCCCTGACCGACCTGCAGCTCAGAGGCGAGCGGCGCGTCCTCGCCGGCCAGCGTCATGCCGCTCTCTGTGTTGGTCACGCAGACACGCCGGTGCTCTGGGTCATCATCGCCGCTCTTGGCGTGCTCGCGCTTCTTCTGCTTCAGCTCCTCCTGTGGGGGTGACACGGCGGTGATGGTCAGGGTGGGGGGCAGTCGATGTTAAAATTCAGAATACGTCCAGCAATACATCAGCAGCTCTAAGCACAACGTCCATATCGTTAGGCTTTTGCTATTTATCCAGCACACATTCACACATTGTCATTCGTTGGCCCATGCTTGATTCATTCACTTCAGTTATCATCTACAGCCATCGTAATGATCTTGAAGTAAATCACTTCCATCCTCGGGCTGTCCGACATCCCATCTAGTCCGACTGCCACGTCTCGTTCCGCAGCCAAACCTGGGCGATGTGGCGACTGAGACCTCACTGTTGCTTGGCTGAGAGGACACTGGCGATAGCCCAGCCAGCCTGACCTCAGCCAAGCCTGACCATCGACTAAGCCAGTGTGACCTGAGTTCAGCAAAGTCTGACCTCTAAGCAGGCTGGTCCTGGCGAAAATCGATCTCTACGACACTCCTGCTACCCAACAGTGCCGCCACCCTTCCCACACGCGTCTCCCATCCAGCGGCCAGTCCGTCAAACGGCCTACCTTGTGCTGTTTGACCATCTCTGTGAGGTTGGCGATGTACTCGTCTGTCTGCTGCAGCAGCAGCGCCAGCCGCTTGTCCTTCTTCTGGTCGATCAGCTTGCGGTAGCCCTCCTCGTCCTCGGCCATTAGGCGGCGCATGCGCTCCTTCTCAATGCGCTCCTGCTCCTTCTGTTTCTCGCGCTCCGTGTTGGCGTGGTGTACCTGGACGGCGCGGTTCAGCTTCTGCAGCCGCAGCTGGCCGGCCTTGTGGAACTCGCGCAGCTCCTTGCCGTGCTGCAGCACCGCAGCAAGGTACTCCTGCGGAGGGGAGAGTAGACACATGTCAGGGAGAGAGACAGGGATGTTGGAGAGTGCACAGAAGCACGTCAGGGGACAGAGAGGAACGCCAGTGGGCACAGACACGTTGGTGGGCATGCAACTGACCATCGTCTAAAATTGGCTATGCATGCAAGGGCAGATTTAATAAGACATCTATGAACTTATTGATTATGAATTTTATGTTATGTAGGTTATGAATGAGTATTAGTGGCAAGGTGTAGTACAAATAAACGTGGAGCAAATGAAACGCAAACTCCAATACCTTCCTGCTCCTATATAATTGCCTTACCATGTGTTTCTGCCGTTTCTTCTTCTCGGCCTCGTAGCGCTGCTGTTTCTCCAGTTTCTCTGTGATGCGGGCCTCACGCAGGCCCTGGCGCTTCTTGCGTTTGTAGGCGGTCACGTGTAGTGCTGTCTCCAGACTGGTGTCTCTTCGTGTCATCTCCAATACCTGGGGTCACGGGGAGGACCGATCTGTGTCAGACACGGCACTAGAGCAGCCTGCTGGGGAAAGGATAGGAGGGTAGTTTTGGACCCAAGCTGCTCCCGAAACGAGCATTTGTACATCAAATAAAAGGGCGCTAGTTCGTGTTGATCAATTAACTATTATGCCTATGTGCCAACATATGGTAACTTAAATCAACTATATGAAAAAATGTAGAGTTACATCACCCTCACTGTAAACATTATTTGCAGATGCATCTTATATGATGAGAATGCCTCATAAATAAAGCGCCCAACCAGCCCAACCAGCCGGCTCACACAGCCAGCTCCAGCCCAGCGCCACTGCCGCCCACGCTGTCAGTGCGGACTACCGACCTCCCTGCGCAGCTGTCGCTGGAAGTTGAGCAGCCGGAGGGCGCGCAGCTCGATCTGCGAGCGCAGCCGCACGTCCTCGGCCATCGTGGCCGGCAGGCCGCTCAGCTCGTCGATCCGGTGCGAGATGCGCGTCACCAGCCGGTTCTCACGCTCCTTGAGCAGCACCAGCGGGTCCAGGCCGGCCGGCTTCTGCAGCGGCGTCACCTGCGCGGAGGCACGGTGGGGTCAGCAGAGGGGGTGGGGCGGGGTCACCTAGAGGGGGGAGGAGAAGGTAAGGCCGGAGTACAGCCGGCTTCAAGTTGGCTGAGCGTGTCAAGCCTACCATCGGTCAGAGATGGGGTAAAGCAAATGAAAAAAACGCACTACGATAAGACACGACGCCAAAATTGAAAGTATCCAACTCAAACGTCCAGGAAAAGGCACGTAAGAATCAGCCACGAATGGCCGAGAACGACAGCTCCTGACACTTCTATTGGCATCCCCAGCCTACCCGTCGCCTCACCTTGTTCTGTTTGGCCTGTTGCAGCACGGCGCCGGGCTGCGCCGCCGCCGGCTGGGCCGGAGCCGCAGCGGCGGGTGCAGCAGGCGGCACCGCCGGACTCGGCGCCGGCGCCGGGGCCGCGGCCGCCGCCGGCGACGGCGCGGCGGCAGCGGCCGGGGACGGCGCCGGGGCCGAGGTGGGCGGCGCCGCCGGCCGCGGGGCGCCCTGGCCCGGTGGCGGCGGTCCGGCCGGGGCGGCGTGGCCCGGCGGCGGGGTGCGCGCCGGAGGCTGGCCCTCGGCGGGCGGTGGCGCCGCCGGGGCCGCCGCCGGAGCCGACGGCTGGCTCTGGCTGAACGGTGGCGGCGGTGGCGGCGCGTCCGGCCGCTTACCTGAGGCACAACACACATTGGTTAATAATGACGTCATGCAGCGATCCAGCTCCAGGCAACGCTTTATAACTTAAACACAAACAATATGCTACAATAAAGATCTACAGATGGCATGTTTAACATTGACCCGCCTTTGTCCATGCAAGACGTCCTGTTGGAGAAGAAAATAATACTTAATTATTTCTAAAAGTAAGGGTGCAGTCGCATGCCGTGTGTCTCGTCATATTGATAACATGCGAACTAGAAACACATACAAGATATGAAGATTAAAAATACATTTGTCGACTAAACATTACTGGAACGTACCGGCGATTGCCAGGTTCAGGTAGTTGGTGGGAATGGGCTGGTTACGAGCGAGCAGCCGGTAGGCCATGATCTGCGCTTTCAGTTGTTGCAGCTGCTGCTGTTGGAACATGCTGCCGGGCGGCGGTCCGGGCGGCGCTCCCGGCTGGCCCGGCGGCGGGGGGCCGGGCGGTCCGGGCCGCTCAGCACCCGGCGGCGGCGGCCGAGGCCCGTTCATCTGACTCGGGTGCCGGTAGCCAGCTGCCTGTGTGTGAAGAGAAACAGTTACTTAAAGGGACTATCCCACCTTTAACATGGGGTTTGAGTTGAGATAGCCAAGTTTGCGGCGAGGTTCAGAAACCACTATCTATCTAGGTTGCAACCCCCGCGGCCTCTTGGTGTTGAAGAAATTCGTTCCCTTCATTTGAAAATGGGCCTTGTGCAAGGCCCTATCTTCAACATGGAGCTACCGTTAGTGTGACGTCACCTCGTTTAGTCATTCTGATTTAAATGGGTTTGTTCGTTGAAAAATCGCTTAAAACTTGGTCTGAGCTTTGTTGTGGTGCCTACAGAGTAAAAAGAATCAGCTTTATGACAGTAATGTGGCCTGGGGAAGGAGGTAATTTTGGGCTGTGACGTCACATATTTGAAAGTTTGTGTTTGGAATATGGGAAGCGTAAGATGTTTGATGAAAAATAAATGCCAGAACCGTGTTCCTGGTCATCCAATCTATAAAGTCGGGCACAATTTAACTGGTTTTAACAACATTTTAGAAGGTGGGATAGTCCCTTTAATGGCAAAAGAAGCACAGAAGACAACAGAACGGTGCATTTCCGACGGTAACCGGACAAAAGATCGTAAAGCAGAGGATCGTATGGCAGAAGATCGTAGGAAGTTGATCGTACGCAAAAGATCGTAATGGATAAAGATCGTACGACATAATGCTCGTATGGACAAAAGATCGTATTCGCTAAAGATCGTCAAGGAAAATGATCGTATGCCAAAAAGTCGTAATGGATAAAGATCGTACGACATAATGCTCGTATGGACAAAAGATCGTATTCGCTAAAGATCGTCAAGGAAAATGATCGTATGCCAAAAGATCGTATGGGATAAAGATCGTACAGTCAAAATATGGTTTTCACATGGTGCAGCCCAACTCCAGCGCAATACAAAGCTGTCAATTTCTGTGTTCGCGTAGTAAGCGGCCGTCGTAAGCTCGTCCATACATTGATGTTATTTCAGCGCTTAGATGGGTAAAAGCTGAAGCTTAAATTTCCGCATCGACAGAAAGGACTCAGCTGTCCTGTTCCTTTCTTTGAGGCTCTAGCACATGGGTGTGGATGTGTATATCATTTTTGCATCCCTAATAATGCTTCTGCACCCCCAAAGGGGCACCCCAAAGCCCCCAGGTGCACACGCACGCATGTGCAGGGGCGCATCCAGGAAAACTCCGAGGGGAGGGTCATGAATCGAAGTGGTGCCCTACCCTACACCCAACATAAAAAACTCAACGGACCTCGAATTTCGGTTTCGACCACTTCATTTAGGTTTTGCCCTATTTTCAGTTTTTTTTTTTTGCACATGGGTCCTGGCAGGCCTGTAGTGTTTCTGACAATCCGGAAGTGCTAACGAGAGGCTGGTGGTGCCTGACAGGCCTGTGGTGGTGCCCCTGGCAGGCCTGTGGTGCCCCTTCTAGGCCTGTGGTGCCCCTTCTAGGCCGCTGGTGCCCTTGGGCTCCAGCAGGACTGTGGTGCCCCCGACTGGCATGTGGTGCACCTAACAGGCCCAATGTATCCCTGCGAGGCTGATGGTGCCCTTGCCAGGCCTGTGGTGCCTCTGTTAGACCTGTGGTGTCCCTCGCAATTCCACTCGCGGCGCCCGGTAGCGGAGGGGGACGGTGGGGGCTGGAAAGCAAAAGATTGCGGCACCACTTTTTGCTCCTAAAATGTTGTCGATATTCCAAAACCACGATTGCAAAATGGAAATCTTGAAACAAACTACAGGATTGCTATTGATTTATCAATGCCTTCGATGTATTTTGAATAACCCACTAAAAATAGTACGATATTTAATTATTGGTAACATGTGAAATGTGAGGGTCCTCTTTGGCATAGGGGGCACATCCAGCCGTGAGGGGCACACCTATACCTGTGACGCCCCAATCAGTAGCGGCGGTACACCTTCGATTAAGGGGGGGGGGGGCACTGCCGACTCTTGGTCCCATTCTTACCATGCAGCGCCCATAGGGCTAATGTTAAAATGCCAAAATCAAAGGGGGGCACGGTGTCCCGGTGCCCTCCCTGTTCCGCCGCCTAAAGCCCCAATGTATTTTTTGTTTGTTCAAAATCCACACCCATGCTCTAGCAGCGAAGTCCATGGTAGTCATACTAATAATTGTGAATTTCTTGATATGCCTAATTGTGGGCATGAAAATTTTCGAAGTTAGTGGATCACATGGCGTCATAAATATTCGTAGTTTCTATATCTCGGATTTTTTTTTTATAAAGGTGACCTAAGCGTGGGTGAATTTGTATATCATTGGGGGTGCTTCAGCACCCAAAATGCTGGATTGAGCACCCCAAGAAGACTTGCACCCCAACAGGGGCATCACACAGGTCACAGCAGCACACGCACGTGACGGTTTTTCGTAGAATATTTTACGACTAACGGGCTTTATGCTACAATCACTTTCCTACAACACTATTCTATACGATTATTTACTTTACGAACTTAACGTTACGATCTTTTACAACATACGATCTTTATCTTACGATCATTTTCCTACGATCTTTTTCATACGATCCATTGCTTTACGATCCCTTGCTTATGATCTTTAGTCGTACGATCTTTTGCGACATACGATCTTCATCTTACGATCATTTTCCTACTATCTTTTGCATACGATCAATTGCTTTACGATCTTTTGCTTACGATCTTTTGTCGTACGATCTTTTACAACATACGATCTTTATCTTACGATCATTTTCCTACGATCTTTTTCCATACGATCTTTTGTCTTACGATCTTTTGTCACGTAATCATTTCCGACGGCTGACTGGAATATCAAACATATTGACGAAAAGAAACCGAGTACAATGAAAAAAATATGTGTTGCATATAGTGAATCACACCACGCTACTGCCGCTACTGAACACTCGGACCCGAGGCGGGAGCCGGTCGGGAGCCGCTACCGTTCTGACCTGTTGGTGTTTGGCGCGGATGGCCAGCAGCTGGCTGTAGCGCGCGTCGTCCTGCAGTCCCTTCTCCTCCATGCTGGTGATAGCCGCCTGCAGCGCGTTCAGGCCGTACTCGGGCGCACCGGCGGCCGGCGGCGGCGCGCCGCCCGGGGGGCCGCCGGGCGGCGCTCCCGGCGGACCGCCGCCGGTGCTGTACGCGCCCTCCGGCGGCGGGTGCGGTGGCGCGCCGGCGCCGGCCGGCGGCGGCTGCCAGTGGTGCGGCGGCGGCGGCTGGCCGGCGCCGGGCGGCGCGTACGGCGGCTGGCCCGGCCCGTGGTGAGGCGGTCCCATGGCCGGCGGCCCGGCCGGCGGCGCGCCGTGCGCCATTGCCATGGGTGACGGCGCGCGCGGCGGACCCATTGGCGAGGAGGTGCGCGGCACCGGACTGGGCGACACGCTGGGCCGCGGCTCCGACATGGCGGCTGGCTTAGCTGACCCTGTTCAGCTCAGCTTAGCTCACAGCTGCCACCAGGCAGCTGTCCTGTCAGAGCCAGAAACACAACTGTCAGATCTTTCTCCAAAATGAATCAGGAAAATGTATGCAAAAAAAAAATGCTTGTCATGACAGCACGTCTTAACAAGGACTTAAATATAGTTTCGATGAGAAATAAAAACAGAGATCACTATCAAACCCTCCGAGCTTAACAATATATACATTCATGTTCAAAAGAAGATTATAATAATAATTGGTCACAACAGTGACAATTGTGTCACTGTGACTTGCTAAATGCTAGCTCATTCATATTTGAGTTTCTTTTCTGATATCAGCACCAAACGAAATCCTGGTGAACCTGTCCTTAGCTGATCAACCTTGTTTCAAGCCGTCCATCCATCTACCCAAACAGGTTGCAAAAAGCACTGCCATATACTTGTCCTTATCTTGCTTAACTTTTCTGTGTACTGGCGTCACCAACTCTAAAATAAGAATTATGCCTTATGAACACTTATCCCAGAAACATAATTGATGTAGCAGGATGTTGATGTCAGTAATTAATTTAAATTATTGAAGCATTGTGATCTATGCCTATTTACATCTTGTATGATGGCTGCCACATGGTATTGCATGTCAATGAGCTGGTGTGTTGCATGCGACAATGATGCTAATGCATGGCTCTCTGATTCAGATGTGTGAATAAGAGCCTTCATTGAGGTTAGCTAATAAAAGTGTTTGAGCTCAACTTTGCAAATATTGCTAATTTAAAGGGATATGTTCACCTTGAAAAAGTGGAGTGGATGGTTTCAAAACACTTGAAAATGGTCGATAATACCTAAATGGGTGGCTAAATGCCATTAATTGGCCGAATTTTGATGAAAATGATGAAAAACTGTTTCAAAACGATGATGTTTTGGGGGCGTTTGCCCCCCCCCCCCCCTAAGATCTCAGAAACTTACCGGCTGATTTTCAAAATTCAAACGGCGTTCGATAGCCCCACCCGAGAACCACCTTGTGACCAAATTTCTTGATCTAGGTCAAACCGATGTCGTCACAGGTCAGGTCAAAGGTCGGATTTTCACCGTTCACAGGCATTTCAAGAAATGTGTTGAGAAATCGAGTAAATTGGTAAATTATTGAAAACCATCGATGGTAAATTGTTCATCAAACACATACTTTGCTATCTGAGGTCACTGATACCAGGTCAAGTTACAGAGGTCAGGTCACTGGGGGTCACAACATGAAAGTGTCGTGTGATACATGTTTTATGGTCCATTTTACATGACAAATGCGATTATGTGGGTCAGGCAGCCTTTGGGGCCAGCTTAGGTTACGTTCTGGTGAAGGTCAGGTCAAGGTCAGGTCAAATTAGGTCAAATTTCAAAGTTGATATTTTTGCATAAAATGGGTATCGATTCGATGCAGCTCGTCACGGGGAGTCTAATGGTAGTCTTTGTTTTGCCCTACGCGGTCTAGAATTGCCAAACATTGAGTTTTGAAAATTTGACTTTTAATTTTTGAACAGTTTTTTCTCTATAACTTGGCCAAAAAAAAAAGATATATCGATCTGAAATTTGGAATATAAATAGAAGACTGTAGGTACTATCATATAAATTCCGTTTTTTTAACTAAAAAAACTTGGATTTTTTTGCTAATGTATCCAAAAATACTTTTCTGATTTTTGGAGGTCAAAATTCAAAAAGTTCAAAAATCCGATATAGCAGTTTTGTAGCCCTGTCAATTCTACACCTTACATGTTTGATCATTTTTCTGTGTCTTCAAAGCTTTAGCTGTGGGCCTGACAGCTCTTCTCGCGAAGCTCTTTTTTCAGTCGAAAATGAAAATGGCAGAACATGACATCATTCTTATGTCATTTGTGGCCAACCTATCATAGGCTCTGGAAAAATTTTTGGTCACAATGTGTCAAATTGATGCCCAGAGAGGTCATGAAAATTAAGTGGTGATATCTGCAGCCGTTTAGGAGATATCGACGGAAAAGGACGGGGCCGTTTTGGCCCCTCCCTACAGGGCGCTGGTTAAGAAGATTACAGCATCTCTGAGCATCCATTCCATATCCATCAGATGAATTTCAATCCAAAGCCACTATAAAAACTAGCTTATTGTTAAAAAAGTCTTGATTGCAACAGTGAAAATTGAAAAACTACAACAAACCAACAAATCAAAATGATAAGAGTAGGTATCTTAGACGGTATCTTAGACGGTAGGTATCTTGACGCCCTCAGCACAAGAGTCGTCAACGACTGGAACGCCCTGCCGTCCACAGTAGTGTCTGCCACATCGGTTGTTCAGTTCAAGGCACGACTGGACCGACACTGGGCGAACAGGATGTACGACATCCCGAATCCCTACCATTAAGATCCTCGCCTTTACCTGTCACACACACTCGATGGGAGCGGGACCTCCAGGCCTAGTGGCCTTATTACCCGATAACCGATGAGGTAAGGTAAGGTAAGGTAAGGTATCTTTTTTACGGTACAAAAAACGGTACTCTCTTAGCAGACGTCACCCCAGTTGCCAGATCTAATGGCCAGTTGAAAAATCTAGAGACTTTTTGAAAAGTCTCTAAATGGGCAGGAAAATCACCCCAGGGGTCAATTAGGGGGCGGGGAACACGAATTTGACACTTATTTTGGCCTAACTCCCCTCCTTCATCCCTTAATCCTCCCTTAAAGGACGGGGCGCGTCAAAAGTGCCTCAAGGATTCGTCTGATCGCCAAAATAAGGGTCGCAATCGATTCCTCGCGTCAATATGTGGCCGCAGCCTCACGTTCCAGATGTGTGCAGCGTATCCCTTATCCCTTAATCGCCCCTTAGAGGAAGGGGTGGGTCAAAAGTGCCTCAAGGTGTCGTCTGATCGCCAAAATAATGGTCGCAATCGATTCCTCGGGTCGATATCTAGCCGCAGCCTCACGTTCCTGATGTGTGCAGCGTAGATCCCTTATCCCTTAATCGTCCCTTAAAGGACGGGGCGCGGCATAAGTGCCTCAAGGGCTCGTCTGATCGCCAAAATAAGGGTCGCAATCGATTCCTCGGGTCGACATCTAGCCGCAGCCTTACGTTCCAGATGTGTGCTGCGTTTCCCTTATCCCTTAATCGTCCCTTAAAGGACGGGGCGCGTTAAAAGTGCCTGAAGGGTTCGTCTGATCGCCCCCTCCCTACGGAGCGCGACATAAAGGGCATTTAAGGGGTAAGGGACCGGTGTCAAACATCTGGACTGGAACCCAAAACTGCGGCTAGATATCGACCAGAGGAATCGATTGCGACCATTATTTTGGCGATCAGACGACACCTTGAGGCACTTTTGACCCACCCCTTCCTCTAAGGGGCGATTAAGGGATAAGGGATACGCTGCACACATCTGGAACGTGAGGCTGCGGCCACATATTGACTCGAGGAATCGATTGCGACCCTTATTTTGGCGATCAGACGAATCCTTGAGGCACTTTTGACGCGCCCCGTCCTTTAAGGGAGGATTGAGGGATGAAGGAGGGGAGTTAGGCCAAAATAAGTGTCAAATTCGTGTTCCCCGCCCCCTAATTGACCCCTGGGGTGATTTTCCTGCCCATTTAGAGACTTTTCAAAAAGTCTCTAGATTTTTCAACTGGCCATTAGATCTGGCAACTGGGGTGACGTCTGCTAAGAGAGTACCCAAAAAACTTAAAATTGAGTTTGCTTTCTTACACCAGCAAATGGTTCTGATACAGCACTTAACGTGAAGGCAAACTAAAATGACTATCATTGTTAATTTGCACCTCAATAAAACAAGAGAAGTCAAAAAAAAAACAAGTGAAGTGGCTTATGGAAGCGGAAGCCGGCAAAACTACAACTTGAACTTTCATGAGGCATACTCTAATGACGATGGTAGCCCGATGAAATGTTTCGCATTACACAAGCGTGGCCAATGCTCGCTGCTTACCAATTTCCTTTCCAATGCACTTATCAGGTCGCCTAATATAATAAACACCGTCTAAATTATTGCCTATATCAATATTTTCCGTTGTCACAAAGGCCGCAAAATGGCCGAAAATCAGTGTTGCCGTTGGGAATTTTCGATACGTACCAGATTCTGAGTGAAAATGTACCAAAACGGACCTATTTCGTACCATATGGGGTATGCCAATGTACCAAGTTATGTACCATTGTATAAAATACACCAAAACGTCATAGATGAGCAAGATTCTACATCAATTCCGGTCAATTCCTGTGTTTGGTGCTCATATTTGGATATATGTGACATCTGCTGTCCGTATCCACTTCATAATATGATTTGCTTTAACCGCATTGATGTTACGTAAATCAGGCTAAAAATAATTGTTACTTCTCATACCTACTATATATATATTGCTAAGGAATATAGTTATAGTTCGTTTTTTTCAACACCGGTTTGATTCCAAGTTCATTATCGAACAGGGGCGTCGCCGACGGGGGGGTCGGGGGGGTCGTGACCCCCCCACTCTTGAAAACTGGGGGTGTCGACCCCCCCACTTTTTGCGATGCTGAGTATGTTTTTTTAGCTTTTATGTCAGTGAAACAGGCGTCAGCAACACCAACAAATACATCAGATTCAGAATCGCTTCAAGAG